AAGCTTGTTTTTTTGTGTGCCTCATTTTCTTTGCCAAATTAAATTGTGGAATTCTTTTTCATTGCATATGCACCACCAGACAGACACACTTACACACACACCCTCACGCATATCCTTATTAAGCTTCCCTTTCCACACACTTTCACATTTTATTTCATTAGCGCGTAAAATTCCTTTTAATTAATATATATAAAATTGTTGCTGCTGCTGTTGGTCAGCAGTTGCTTCGTCTACTTGCGGTTCAATTTGTGGAACACATACCCAGACATGACTTCCCTTATTTCCTTCCCCCCCCTGTAGGGCTCCCCGCATTTTATTTCATTTTTGCTTGAGCATAAAATGTTGAAAGCAGCCGCTGCACGTGCGCAGCATGTTTAATTATCTCCGAATGTGAATGGGCGGATATAGGGATGTGGATGTGTGGCTGAGTGGGGCGACGGCGTCATGTGGTTGCGGCTCATGTGGTCAGTGTTTCAAGTCCAAGCTTAATGACCCGGCTCGGATCTGGGTCTGTTTAGTTGCCATTAAATTACACATCAGCTTCGAAATAGTGCAGAAATTCGTCAAAAACAGAATTAAAACTCGAAACGTGCAATTTGATTAGGGTCAATTTTAAAGGACATTGCTTTTAAATTAAAACTTTTCATTTGCAAACTTCAAATTGTCCCTTGTCCCTTAGGTCTTTAGGTTTAACACTATGTTCTGATGCTGAGTAGAGGAGGAGTTCCATTTCGTAGTTCTCACTTTGCTGCATAATTTGCAAAACAAATTGAAAAACACTTGCCATGCATTGCTTATACTGCTGTATATTGTTCTCCCAACACAGGAAAAATTAGCATATGGGGGATGGGGAAATTTTGACTAACTTAACTAGGACTGGATAGGGTCTTCTTGGCTCTTGTTTTCCAGAGATTGTTTTTTCATGGCTTAAAGTTGTTCATAGAGAGCTTAAGTTTAGTTTTATTGGTTGGGTAGTTTGAGGCTTCAAACGGGCTTGTAGACTAAACTCACCTTTACATTTGAACTATGATTAAAATTAAAGTAATTTTTGTATTTGTGGCAACTTATCCTTATCGTTGAACTTACAAAATTATTAGTTTAGTTATAGTACTATCAAGGTACAGTCTGCTTGTTAAGATATTAGTTACTTTTAGTTTCTAGCTTAACCTCACTTATCTTATCCTAACTTTGCTTTCACTTAATCTTAAATTGTAACTTTTCCAAAAAGCTTTAAAATCTAAGAATTGGTATGCAAGTCTGACGTTCTAGCGTCTAAAGAGTCGTTTCTTCGTGCGTTGTTTTTCCGCTCTGGTTTTTTTTTTATATTTTGACCAACAATATTAATATGAATGACTGTCATGCCTTGGTGTTGGTGGTCCTGCTTGTGTGTGCGTATAATTATGTGGATGTGTGTGTGCAACGGAACGTTAAATGTGCACGTGACAAGCGTGTAATGAGGAAGTCTTCAGTCTTCGCCCGTCTAGGAAGCTAGCCAGCCAATATATTGTCGGGATGTGTTATATATATATATATATATGCGACTATAAGGCAATGTCGTGCCATGTTACGCATATATCCGACTCTACATATATTTCAATCATTTTAAGTGTGTTTGTGTTACAACGTCAGCAGGACAGCGATGCCACCACAGGATGGCCCGTATTTTCTCCAGCGCTCTCCATCAGAGTTCCGAGTTCTTCTGGAATCCAGAGGTTGTAGTGTCCCTGTATCGTTGTCGTCTGAAAATTGGACAATGATTTATGAGGCGTTAAGTCAAACTTCATATTAATTTCATTTCATTTTCAACCAGCCCAGCCCAGCCCTGCCTTCGGTTGCTTTAAAGTTGGGAAATGGGTGCACATGAGACACGTAAAATGCGAGAATAAAAGCCAGTCAAGAAGGATAAAATCCGTCTGAACAGTCGATAGCTAGGCGAAATACGGTAACCGGGAAACGTGTTATGAATTTATGGAATGTGATAGTTCAGGAAAACAACGAATTGGGAATGTTCTTTAAGAAATAGGAGTATAGTAGTTAGTAGTAGTTAGTATCTAAAAATGAATTAATTTTTAAAACTTTAAAGTACCTGAAGACTAAGAAGCTAACATAAGGTTATCTAAGTTAACAATAACTTTACAAAATAACCAAAAAACCACAAGGACACATGCTAGTTAGTTAATAAAGCAAATAAATAAGATATTACATTCAATAAAGTTATGACATTACACTTGCAGCTTATTAACACATTACAAAAATGTAACTTTTCAGCCTGAAAACTTTAAATAAAACACCTGTCTGGCACATTTATGAACCTAACAAAAGGGTATTAACATGTAGTCATCCTCTGCTCTTCCAGATTAACACCTCCGAAGAACGCACACAAGACCCACGTTTAGACATTTGAAATTTCGTTGGGCGTGTTCGGAGTTCTGCTGGCCTTTTTCCCCCCCAAAAGCATAATCATATTTTCTACCAACAATTGTATAACATGTGTAATTTGAGCATTTCATTCATTCATTCATACATTTATTCGTTCGCACACAGACACAGGCTCAGACACACACACACACACGCACAGTTGAATTCCTGCTGTGTGTGAGCTGGGCTGTGAAAATAACTTGTGGCATGCTTTGAGGCGTTTGTGTGGGAAGCCAAAACTTTGAGCACTCCACCAACCCCTCACCCTCCTCTCAGAGCCCAGCAATTTGGCATTCTCTAGTGGTTTTTGCCTTTTCCCCGCCCACTGCCCACTGCCCACTGCCTGTCTCTGGTTATTGGCCAGTGAAGCGTTAACCATGGTCAATAAAAAATTTATTTAGACAACCACAACGGCAACACAAATTTTTTGCTGTTTCCCGATAAAAAAAAAAAAATATTATCCTCAGTTGGAAAATTTTTTGGCAGGCAACACACAATTCAGCAACAGAAAAACGAAAAAGAAAAATACTTGTAAATTTTTTGCCTTCTCTACGGGCTTTGATGGTGTTGAGTGTTGGCATTTGATTTATTTTGGGGCGTTTAAATATTTCAAATAATTCATATTTTATTGACTAGACATGACCAACAGAGTTGTGGCCGAAAGTGAGGATGGAAACACACACACACACAGACAGCCAAAGCAATTAAATTGCATTGTGCACTTCTCTCTCTCTGTTAATTCAATTTGTTTTTCGAAATTTTTGAAAAGCAAAATTTGTTTAGCAATTGATTGAGCAGCAAGTGAGTGAAATAGTTTATGTTATGTTTCGTTGGCGTTTATTTTTAATGGGTTCATTAGGGATATAATCAAATTAGTTAGTTCTTTCATAAATAGTCAAGCTATAAATTTCCAAAAAACATATATTTATTAACTCCAATTTAATGAAGCACTTTCGAGAACTATCATTTAAATTTTCAGCCATTAGCCTGTTCTCAGATCTGGTTACAATAAATTTAAACCGCTCGACAAATTGCCAAACAAGAAACAAGAAACACTTCCAGCTGGCAAACAATTAAACAAACTGAGAAACAAACAACAGCAAACAGCAGAGCAGGGCAGAGGAGAAAACAATAAATGCGTTTCGGGTTGCATTTTGTGGCCAACGAAAATGTCTCCAGGGTCAATTTCAAATGCATTTACATAGGCCAACAAACAACGATACCAACACATATACATATGGACAACAGAGGGAAACCAAACACACAGATACTCGGAACATAGATTAGTGTAATTACTATACCATGGAAAATGACGTCGACATGAACATGATGGCAAACGGCTCAAGGGCATTTCCACTCCATTGGGGACGAAAACGATTGGGTTTGAGGATTGTGGGCGGAATTAGGTTTTCGACTGCATAGCCGTCTATTGGAAATTCTGCTTTTGATTTCATTTCATTACGCATTTGCAATTTCAACTATGAATAATTGAAAATGTGCATTGCATACTTTAAGGCCCAAATTGCCATTACAATTGAACATTTGAGTGTGTGTGTTGGAGAGTTGCAAGCGCAGTTACGGTTGATGTTTTTGGCTAATTCAGCCGAAATATGCTTATTACGCATTAAAACTAATTAAGCATGAAACTGTATTTGATGACCCCCTCCCCCCCACACACACACACACTCACTCATTTTGGCAGAGGAAAAGTCCTGTTTGGGTTCAAAATTTGATTGATGGCAACAAATGTTGATTTGCAGCCGCTCCAAATTTGCTACAGCATTCAACTTTGATTTATAGGAATTAAGCGGCTTAATTGGGTCTTGATTTTAGATATGATAATGCCTAGATCCTAATGCTCCTTCTCTTCCACTTTTGCTCACCTTAATGGCCCTTAATTGCTGCCATGCCGTTCGTCCTGCAGGACCCTTCAATTACCACGCAATTAGGTGCGAGTGTCAAGTGGAATGAAACCAACGAAAAAAAAGGAGTCAGAAGAGAGAGAGAGAGAGAGAAAAACTGTGGGAAATTAGGAGGAAAACCAAGTCAGTAGCTCACTTAGACGCGTCCGAGCAAGCACTTCCAACACTCGGCATAAATTAATTATAATTCCCCCTGTAAGTGCTCCGTGTAATTGTAATTGTTGTTATGGCTGGCTTATAATTGTCGGTCTTGTTGATGCCGTTTCAGTTGCTGTTTTCGGTGTTTCTGCTCTGTTGTTGTCGTGCTAAACAATTAAGTGTAAATTGTAAAACATGCGGAGCTGCGGTCTGCGGTCATGTCTCTCTCTCTCTGTCTCTGTCTGTGTGTGGGTGTGAAAATGGTGGTGAAACCACGAAACGGAAACGGAAGTTCAAGCTGTAACAGAACCAGAAACACTAACCAAACTATTGAAGAGACTTTCCCCCAAGACTGGAAGATAAATTTATATTGTTTGGGTGGCCATTATTAGCAGGAATGTAAACAGATTTTGCCATGATGGTTATCCCTTATTTGAGCAATTAGTCCTGGGAAAATGAGCTCAGCATTGAGTTGTTAACCTAAAACGGATGATTTTGATGTTTAATAAATGGCTGTTTATATTTAATTTAAGAATATTTTATATATATCTACTTTATATTCAGCTTTGTAAATTATTAAAAAAATTCAAAAGTTTTGGCGTTTAAAAAACTCATAGAAATACTCGTAGGACACCAGCAGCAGAGCTCCGCCTGGACCGACCCTCAGTAAATTCGCTCCCAGACCTTTGAAACAGGCTCTGAAGCCTTCCTCTCTGAAGGTCGTTTTTATGGTCGTTATGGTCCATCGGTACTTCACCTCGCCCTTCACCGGTTGGGGACCTTGAATCCTGCACTTGGCCATATCCATAGTGGCGCTCATGACACAAGCCAAGCAACTGGCCGACCAAGCTATTGCGATCTTTCGAAAGAGCTCCGAGGTGCTATCCTGTGAGTTAGGAACCCAATCCTTAAGAGCATTGTACGAGCCAAAGAAACCGAAATGAAAGATTGCATTTCGTGCCACGAGCGCCGTAATCCCGCGATATAATCCCTCGATGCCATAGCCATCGTGCTTGATGATGTCCTTGACCACCGACAATGTTGCTAGACTTTTCTCACGATTAGCCTGCTGAGTGATCTTCACCACCTCGAAGGGATTGAGCAGAAATGACTCTAACGATGCAGCCAATGAACCTGCCATGGCATGAGTCAGTGGAGTCGGATGAGAAGCTCCGAAATGGAAATACGGCTTCAGCAGCTCGTAAACCAGAAACTTGGCGCCCCTCTTCGGGGTTTCCACGCAAATCGGTGGCACTATGCCCTTCCAAAAGGAGGCCAAACCCTCATTGCGATATATATTGACCAGAGCCTCGCCAGTACATTTGTAGATGACCTCGCCATGAATAGGACGTGAGCCCTGCATCTGCATCCGTGACTTTACGACATCGAGGGGATGGAAGCAGGCTATTTCCAGAAAGCCAGATAATGCGCCAGCTAAGAATTGGTAATGCGCCTCGGAATGGCTCGGCATTCGGGCGTCGATAACAAATTTTGAATTTTGTCTGAACGCATTTTTAATTTCATTTCAAAAACCCATATATGTTGAATGGATAGGACCAGAGAAGTTGATAGAAACAAACTTAAAAGCCTTATTTGGCCAGTAAAGGGACAGCAGCTGTAAGGCTATCTTAAAGGACATTATTATTTTTGCCTCAGCTTACATGCCCCTTGCCTCTGCAGTTTCAGCCAACCTCTAATGTATCTCCGAGTGCCATGTTAATGAATGTCAAGTGCACTGCCTGTAGGAACCCCCCTCATCAAAATGTCCGTTGTACTGGTGGACTCTCCTGGGCGATCTCATAACAACAATTATGCTAATGTGGCCCAATCCGGGACGTCAATCCAACATAATTGCTAACAAATTAGTCATGGTCGCACAGGCCAGTGCCAGCCCTTTTGTGAGCCTCATCCACCTACACATCCCAGCTCTTTTGGCCCAGTTATGTTGGAAATGTGTGTGTGGTGGCTGGCTGGCTCTTTGGCTGGTTTGGTTGGCCCACAGAGTGGTGTGGAGTTCATTCAGCAAAGTTTAACACGCGAACAGTGAGTGAAGGACCGACATTGTCTGTGGCTAGGTGTGTATCCTGGCAATTTGCTTGTCACGCTGCACAATTGCAGACCAGCTACGTCCTGGCCGCAACCAACTGTAGAGCTTCCTATTCTCTTCTCGGCCTGATGAGGCAAATGAGTCTCGTTGCCATCCATGTCCTTCAGCTGCTCCTTGACTTCCTTCTGCCTTGTTGGCCTGAAGTACCTTTTGGCGTCGGGTTACCCAGGTCGTTGTTCATAAGTCAGCTCATTGCCGCCGGCTGTTCCTTAGTCCTTTGGTGTTTTGGTATCGTAACAACCTGAACCTGAGGTAGCCACTCTCCTGATGGAGAGCGTTAAATTTATATTAGAATATTACGGCAATGAGCAGGGCTCTTAAGGGCGGTGAAGTGGCGTCAATTTGTGGCTTAAGCTGGCCGCATTTGGAGTTGGCCTAGTGACTGATGACTCGGCTATTAAGTTGATAAGCTCACCGGGTTCTGCATAAGTTTGATAAATGGTAGTTCAATGAGGAAAAAGAAGGTCTAGATGGGGGTTTCTAGTCTGTAGGGGGAGAAAACAATATGTACACTCCTTGAAATAGCTGGTGGGAAAGTGACATCATGCATAGTTTATATGACATTGTGACCTCAAGAAGATGAAATCTCGAAGCAAAGTCAAAGCCATTTCAAGTTTGGAAGATGATTAAATAAGAGAGCTTAAGCCCTTTGTAATGAACAATCCTAGGTTTCCTTCCCTTAATCAGTATGAGATTCCTTATCATTATTGTTCTCCAAACCTTTTAATTAGTTTGAACCCTTTTCTAGTGCAAGCTTTCACGACCATTCCCATCTCGCAAAAAACCAACCCACAATTGAGTTTACACATCAACACTTTAGTTATTTGCTGGACATTTTTTTACATCAACAGAATAAACAGAAACCCACAGAATCTCCCCCAGCTTTTGCTGTCTACTTTTCCATCTCAGCAAAAAAAGGATAGAAAAACCCGCCCAGAGGTTCTTACCCACTGTCAGCAGCACATCAGACTGCTCCTTGTCATTTTAAAGCCATTTGATGTATGACAAATCAAATTTGACAAACTGCCAACAGTTGTTTTGCATCTTTGCAACATTTTTCACAGCAGCAGCAGCAGCAGCCACCCTTACTTGGGGACACATGTGAAATCAACTCCGTACTTAATACAGTATAATGGCATAGGGAACACCCCTAAGAGCTTCGTATAGAACTTTGCATGGTGGGTGACTGACAGAAGAGAGGAAAAAATTTACATACTCATGTTTCGCAATACGCCGTGTGACATGCAAAAATGTAACTCCGGACTTGAAGAAGAAAAGGGGATTCGAATGGGTTTTGGATCCGGGTTTTGGGATTAGGGTTTGGCTTCAACATGCATGCACATTTTAATGCTCTTTGATTAAAGACAATGATGTCGAAGTTTTGGAAACTCATTTGGGCTTGAGGAATTCGGGAACTCACGTCCGGACTGCGACTTCGACTCCGACCCGAAAAACTAAACGAAAATTGCGGCAAACTTCTCTCACACTCACCGGGGAAATAAAGAAGCGTTTCCCTAGCCCGGTTTAATTTTAGGGCTTATTCGAGTATGCACTCCATTTCATATATATATTTTGAATAAAAAGTCAAGCCAAGTGTGCACTTTGTCTGACAGTCAAATCGTAGATGGATACCGGGTGGCGGGAAAACAGAGCCGGCGAAGTCAGAGAAGCCTGGAGAAAAGAGAACGTGAGCTCAATCAAGCGCCTCTAAGAGTCCGACAAGGGAAATTTACAAGTCACACACGACCGTACAAAATATAGTTCTTTCGAGAAAAAAGGCAAAAGGCGGAGGTATGCGGTCGTTCTCGTTCTCCTTCTCATCATTTTTCCTTTTTGGCCAACGGGGAATGCATTTTTTGCGAATCAGAATCGGAATCGGAATGGAAATGGCGGTGGAAAACGGGTAAGGATCTGCAGTCGCAGTCGTGTCTCAACTGCATTTCGCATAAAAAATTAAAAGTCGCAGCGTAAGAAATAAGAAATATGCAATCTGCTCGTCTTGTGCATGATTTCTTATTGTTTGTCAAGGAAAATGCAGTGGGAGGAAATGAGATTTTTAATGCTGAAGAAGGGATTTCTTAATTAATAAATATTTGAAAAGATTATCAATATATTTATACACAAACTTATGAGAAACTTCCAGTTAAAAAAAGAATAATTTTCATAAGTAAATTTCAATCTAATACATACGCAACTGTTTTCAAGAATTATATTGGTAAATAAAATGGAAAATGTAAATGAAAAGTAAAAGTTAATGATCGATCACAAAAATCTCCCAAAAATGCTTCTCAATGATTAGTTTAAGAATCTTCCAGTAAAATTCTCTTAGAAAATCTTTAATAAATAACATTTACTCTCACTGTAATCCCCTGGAAGTCCTCCGACATATGATGAACAGCAATAGTAGTTTAAGCGCCCTTAGCGCCACCCCTTTTAGATGTAGACCAACCGTTATCGATACGTCGCGCGCGCTCTTCCCGAAAAAAGTGGGCCCCAAGGACATGGTGTCAGTTTGGCAAGTTATTGCACTGCACATGGCCCATTCCCATTCATATTCGCCTGCCTATTCCCAACTCATTTCCATGACCATTTCCATTCCCAGTTCCACCTTTTTTTTTCCCCAGTTAGTTCCAGTTTTGCCCAGCGGCATCTTTGACTTCAGAAAACGCTTTTTTGATTGTTGTTCTGCGATGTTCGGCTGCCGTTTGACTTTATGCATGAATGACTTTGAGTGGAACTTGGCCACTTTATGTGGCTGGAAGGCATTGCACATTGCACGGATTGGAGACAGACTTCGCAGACTGTCCCCTGCTGTTCGGAAAACTATATACTACCTGAGCTTTGTACATTTTATATTACGACAAAGTTGTCCAGCGTCGGGGATTCCAGACGCATGTTTCAACTTTGGTCGTTGTCGTCGTCGTGTCGTCACGTTAATGCCAAGTTTGGCTACCTGAAATCGAGTTATCTGCGTCTGACTGTATGTGCATCTGGGCTGACGTGCTACAGTGAATACACTATAGATCAAGTCATTATCTTTAAGAAGGACAAATCAAACTGTAAGCTCGTTATTAACTTAAAGTTATAAAATACATATAACTATCTCTTGATAACTTACTTCCAGAAATAGTTAAGTTCTTCTAGTCCAAGTTTTACTGTATGATGAAGTTCCTAGAAAGTTAATAGAAGGGGAAACAGACCGTTCTGGCAAGTAAATTAGTAATCAATATGAGGAGATTGAAGGAGCTCTGGTCGGATCCTCTGAGGAAGGACTCCTCCCACTCTGGATGCATCGCTAATCCCATTAGCTGCACATGCTCTACCAGCACTTTACACCCGACACGCACTTGACGTGGCTTTAATAAGCTAACAGAGAAGAAGGACAGCAACCCAAAAAGAACCCACTCTGACTCTGCTGAGGCACTCGAGTTTAATCAAAAAACTTGCCGAGTCTCTGTTGATGGAATGCTACAGGAGCGTTCCACATCTAGGCGGAGCCATCTTTCACCATCTTGTGGCACACATAAAGCACTTTGTATGCATGTCGGGGTGCCCTTACCCCCGCCCGCCTTTCGTCCTGTGTGTTATGAATATAAATTTATTTCCCACGTCACAACACAAACACCGAACACTGGCAAAGAATCAAGTGGGCGGGAAGACGCCGGACTTAGACATTTCACACATCGCGCATAATAATAATAATAAACGATAACGAAATTTACTTCCTAGGAAGCCGCGAACACGAAGATAGAGCGGATACGGATGCGGATGCGGATGTGGTTGTGGGTGCCACACAAAGCGCATCCTTCCCATTTTTGGGGCAAGGACTCTTGTTATGAAATTTTATGCCATCCAACCTAGAGGAATAGGATTACAACGGAAACGCACTCCTCGGTCATGGGTTTTAATTTCGCTAATGCAAGGAAAGTCGAAGAGGGTCCTTCTTTTTTTGGGAGATTTTTTGAGGCAAAATTCATTTTTCAAGATTATACTGTGGTCTAAGTTTCAGAAAGCTTTCGTACCTATTAGTTTAAGCCATTTGGCTAAGAAAACCACAAGTTTCTATCTATAAAGTTTAACCCTCTTAATTTGCAATATAGATAGGCTTTAGCTTATTAAAGATACAAGGAAGGATACAAAGGAAGTTAACCTTAAAAAAGAAATATTTCTACTTGATTATAGATTATCTAATAGTTCAATCCACTTTACAGCACTCTCCCACTCAGCTTTAAGCCCCCTTAGCTGGCATTCAAAGTCAGAGGAAAAGTCAGGGGCCACATGTGCTGGCAATTTCTCTAATACTCGTGATATAAGTTTTCATTATGCGTCTGGAAGTTTAAGAAGCCGGCGTGTGATATGTGTGGGTCTTGTGTGTGTGTGTGTATGAATGGGCCTCATACGAAGGACCTTATGCTGGG